CAGCGTGACGCGGGCGACCTTTCTGACCGCGTTCAGTGCGAACTCGGACGCAGTGAAGGCCCCCACTTCACTTTCGCGCTACACGATCCGCGTTCGAGCCGCCCGGTTCGGAGACGCGCGCGTCGAACTGATGATGATGATAATGGGGATGAAGTGAGAAGCCCAGGGCCATCCGCCATGCCGCCATCGGCGGAGTCATTCGCGCAGGCGCTCGCGCGCCCGCTCAAGCGGCGCGCGGCGCCCCCGCCCGCGCGATCCGAGGAACTCGCTCAGACGGGGGCGTTCGCAGGAACCAGTTCCAGGATAACGAAAGCCTTGGCGAAGCTGTTTGCCCGCGTCAAGTCTGATTTGTCGGTGAAAAGAACGACGGGCTTGCCCGGCAATTTGTGTGTATATATATATATACATACATGTATACAGACATACACATATATATGTGTGTGTATGTATATATATATATATGTACATACGTACATATACCAGACGAAGACACGGAGCACTGGCTGAATAAAGGTTACACCGGGCCCCAAATCCGCTATTGGTGGTCATTGGAAAATGCGGAGCGGCATGGCCGAGGCAAAATCGTCCGCGCCAACAGGAGGCGGCACTACGACCGCTGCCACGTTGGAGAGGAAGGGCGCCGATGCAGAGTAGCGCAGTTCGCAACTGCATGCACGGCAACGCGCGGGACACAGAGAGCCACCGAACGCCAGCGTGTCCGCAATCATGTTCGGCAAGAGCCCGTCCTTGACTACAGCGCTGAGGCTACATGCCTGTCGAGGACACTGCCGTGCGAACGTGGATGCGCAGCTGCCGAAAGAGAAAGACCAGCGCAAATGCTCGGAGTGGCTCACCACAGCCACCCGGCACACGCCATGTTACAGAGATGAGCTCTCTTGGCGATCAACCGAATCTGTCACGTCTTTCGACGCGTTCGACGGTTGGGTGTGCCTCAGGACTGTGGACACTGTCATGATCAGCACCTGGGCGCCGTCGAGAAATGCGTCCTGGGTAGGCGTTGGGCGTGCCGAGCACTAGCTGTCGTGAAAATATGTGAGATTGTCGATGCCAATTCTGATGTGTCAGAAATCGACTCCAGGTGAGGAAGCTCGACTTCCGCGGGGAAGCCCGCCCGACTTGATTCCTGCGGCCCAGCAATGGGCACAGCAGCCCAGGCATTAAATTCCAGAATCATCGTGCTCTCGAGTGGCATACTTGACGGAGGCGGCTTCGCCCTACAATTTCATGCGCGGAACCCAATGGGCCAGCATCCCGAGTATATTGAATGTGGGCCTGTCACGCCGGAGCCAAGACATTCCTAAGCCAAACTCAGGCAGACAGATGATCCATGGATGCCCGTATTCGCTTGGCGGTGAACGTATCCAGTCAGGCTTGCGGATGGGCTCCGAGGTTCCTATCTTAGCAGGCCCCAAGACCTTGTTTCGATATGGTATCCCAGTATGGCGACCAACCATTTATCATCATGACTTCGCTGGACAAATGGCGTATCCCGGTAAGTTCCCTTGTCCAACTTATCGGCATCAAGCACGACGAGTACGAATGCTCTCACGACCGAGTTGGACAGGTCTGGGCCAATGGTCTGCATCTTGACTCCCAGCGGGGTGAACGGTCAATGCTTTATTTCGCAGCGATGGATTGGCACGAGCAACCATTTGATCCCTCCACGTTGAAGGGATGGATCGTTCCAGACACTCCTTACAACCTGCGTATACCCACGCTGAACTCACGGAATAGATGCATAATGCCTCGATATTCATGCTACCAGAGGTGAGTCCAGTGGGGGCTCCTCCAGACGACTCTGCTGGTTCCTGGAATCAGGCCCGTAGTGCTGATGTGTCGGGTATCACATCTAGTGGGGCAGCGCCAAACGATTGATTTTTTCGCGAACGATCCGTGGCGCAACCAGGGCGCATCAGCTGCCTGTTCCCGCGGGGCAGACCGCTGTATTTGTGCCCGTGAGCGGGCCCGCGACTCCGTTTGGAACACGACAGAATCTTGGTAGCTCAAGCAGTGATCATGGACCAGTGCGGCAACATGAGGCCAGTTGCGGAGGCCGCCCAGGGAGCCGACAGTATGCTGGGACAGCAGCAGTGGATGCACAGACAGATGCAGGAGGCCATGGAGAGCATGAGGCGGGATGTTGTTGACCGGCCAAACGCAAATTGGGGCCCGCCTTGGTCGCATGTGCCTGATGCGTATCCGTCGCCGAGTCATCCGAACCGATGCGGATGCATGCCTGCTGCCAATAGGCTGGTGGCGACGCAGATGGTTTCGGCCATGTCCCCTGACTACAACGCGCAGCCGACAGGGGTTCTTCGCGTCGGAAGTCAATCAAAACACCCGTGCGTCAGGGCGACAGCATGTGATTTTTACAAGTCTCAGCTGACAAGGGGAGCGGGGTACGAGGCCGGCATTCCCGGCCAGGTGCCACACTGCGGGTTTTTGGCACCCCCTATGGATCAAGATGTGAATCCACATGGTCCAGAGCTTGTTGCACCTGCATCGTTGGGGGAGCTGCGTGCTTAATTAGTGGCCATGCATGAGGCGCAGCAAGCAAATTTCCCGATGCAGCTCGCACGCCAGCAGCGCAATCGGGCGCGGCAGGCGCGCCGCATGATGAACCACGCGGGGACACCCGCTACAGTTGCATTTGCGGGGCAACCCGCTATATTTCTGTCGGCAATGCTTGCTATAGGACCGATGCCTGCAGGGCTGCCTGCTACCAGCCGCTGCGCAATGGGAGAAGCTACGTGTGAGCGGCAATCGCGCACGAGGCCATCAGCTACGCCACCGATCATCTGCGACGGTGATTTCACGTAACGCGGCGTATTCCTCGAAGAGTTTGCATGCCACGATAAGGCACGGAGGCTCCAACGCGGCCACATCTTCCATGCGTTTTGTTGGGACCGCGTTGTGCAGGCGCGCGTGGGCCGACAGTTGGAGGGCGCCCCAAACAGGGCACCAGGCGCCGCGTTGCGAGGCGTGTGTCCTATCACAGCTGAGTTACACTACGGCCTCGCAGGAGGGCGCAATTCAGAGGACTGGCATGAGGAGATACTCCGCGGGGCAAATGAACTCAGGGACCCCCGCGAAGAACTGAACAGGATCACGGCCCGGATGGCGGGCTCCACCACGGCGCCAGCGGGGGCGCTTGCTGCTTCTGCGGGGCAACATGCTGCACCTCCATGCGCGCGGCCAAATCCAGAAGCAACGACGCCAACCGCGGACGCGCAGATGCCGCTGATAGCCGAGTCAGTGCAGGGTGGCCAGAGCACTGAGGTCACCTTGACTTCCGATACCGACTATGCCTTCAAGTCTTAGTCGGGCAATGATCTGGAGAAGCCGATTGAGTGCACAGTTTCTCATCAGTTCGATACGACAATTGATGGAGAGAGGTATCGTGCATTGTGCGCAAAGGTGCGACACCAAAAGGGAACATCGACATAAACATGCTCCTGCAAGTCATGGGAAAACGTAATCTTCCAAGCAGGACCTGAAACGACATATTCCCTGCCGGGCTGGCCAGACGAGGTCATCTGAGCCGCCTGAAGAGTAGTTATCTGCAGGGAAACTTGCCTGCGAGGTAATTTGTTTGCAAGGCAACTTGCATGCGGGCCAGCCTGCCTTTGTTGAGCCCGCGTGCTGCTGGTCACCTGGTTATTATAGCGTTTAGCTGTATAGCTGGCGGCGGACTCGCACTTCGTTTCCTCCCCCCAAACGAGGTAGGGCAAAGGCGAGAAGTCGCGAACGTTTGTCCGCGGCCGTTTGTGCTCAATCGGCCGGCCGCCAACGCATGACTGCGCCTCATCCCGAGGCTTATTATTTGCCATTGAGACAGAAAACGTTTGCCATTGACATGGTTCGTCGTTCCCGCGACTCTTCTGCTCTTGGTGCTCTCGCTACTACAGTGTAGGAGCGTTGGATATGGGCTTCGCCTTCGGCGAAGCATCTGGCTGGGCCTCCCGACCCCCTTTTCAAACTCGCCCTCATTTGTGAAATTGTTGTTTCAGGGTCGTCCGTGTTGGGCAAGTCTCAGGCGAAACGCCCCGACTGCCCTACGGACGCATCTGGGGGTGCGGCAGGGATGATTTGATTATAAGGAAACGATGGGGGAGGAGGGGGAGGAGGAGGCGGAGGAGGAGAAGGAGGAGGAGGAGGAGGGGGAGGAGGAGGAGGTGGAGGAGGGGGAGGAGGAAAAGGAGGAGGAGGAGGAAGAGGAGGAGGAGGAGGAGGAGGAGGAGGAGGAGGAGAGTGGATGAGGATGATGAGGCGCAGATAGAAAAGAGGAGATGGGGAATGGTGTGTGTGAGAATGGGCAGCGGATCAGAGAGGAAATCTTTTGTGCTGGGGGTATGTTCACGGGGTTGGAATGGGGAGGTGGGGGCGAGGGGATGAAGGAAGGAGTGGGATGGGGAAGCTGGATGAGGACGAGAGAGGCTGGAGAGGGTGTGGCAGAGGATCGGAGGAACATTGACAGGGAATGACACCTCCAGCCTCCAATATCCAGCCTTGTCCTGTCGCCCAGCAGGCACATCACATGCACAAGGACCCTCTACGGATCCACAAACGTCAAGAGGCACCTCAGGACGTTTAGGTATGGACGACGACTGCGTCCAGTTATTTGTCATCGCAGGAGTTCTGTTCGGATGCATCTGCTGCAGAATCGCAGGCAGCGGCTTCGCAGCAGGAGTGGTGCAGTGCTTTCCCGAAGTGCTGATCGCATCACAGTAGGATGGGCTCCTGGGTCCCGGACGACTTTGCACACATGCCCAGACCTATTCTGTCGCACCCTTGGCTCAGCATCCTCAGGCATCACACGTCACGGGTTCTTCATGGCTCCTTGGCGCGACCGCCCAGAAGTCTGCCGCTGCAGCAGCGTAGGTGCAGCAGCCAGCCGCAGCGCCAGGCCCTCGGCTTGCGGGGCCCGCCAGACAAGCACACTTTCAACTCCGTCATCCACTCGCACTCGCTCACCGGGACTTCGCCGTGTTGCAGAAGAGAGCACGGGAGACCCTCGGGGGCGGCAAGGAGGGGGGTGATGACTATGGGGGGGTGGATATCATGGCGTGGCCCAGGATATTTTCTCAGATTTCATGGCGCCTCTTCTCATTTCATTTCGTCCCTGGCCCCCCCGCTGGGCCGCGCACGTGCCGCCGGTCATGATTTGCACACCCCCCTCTTGGACACCCCCGTCTTGGCCGCTCCCGCGAGAACGATGGCATGGTTTTTTTCAGGACGTTCAGACGTCTTGCAATCCGGAAAAGGCGCACTAGAGTCTGTTTCCGCCATTCTCGGGGTTCGGTTGGTGGTCACTCCCGGGCCCCAGAGTGACAAGTGATTCTTGGGGAGGGTGTCCAAGGGTCCGAGCGGCGAGCGATTTCCAAAAACTGGGCAGTCGAAGGCCAGACTGTCTGACTGGATCGGGCCCCAAGGGCCAACCTGGCCTGGCCGAACTGGATGAGTTGGGTTATTCGCCAGACGGGATTCGCGGTGGCTCCCTCGCCAGATTGCCCCCGTTTGCCAGATTGGGCCTGCCGGATTTCAAGAGGAAAAGAAACACACAGACAGAATTAATCCTCGATTCCCCAGAAAATATGGGAAAATATGGAATGGGGGGGAAGACAAAAACCCAGAAAATATGGGAAAATATGGGAAATCTTTTTATTTGTGTGTATTTATTTGTGTGTCCCAGTTCCCCTTCAGGATTGGCGCCAGATTGGCTTCGGCTACCCAGAAGAATCAGTCGTCTGTGGTCTGGGGGTGCGGAGTGCAGCCGCGGAGCCTGGGCGTGCCACAAAGCACTGCTCGGGCAGCAGAGGAGACGCGGATCTGTCGTGCATTCGCGTCATCTCGGGTGGGTGGCAATGGTCAGGGGGAAAAGAAACACACAGACACAATTAATCGTCGACTCCCAGAAAATATAGGAAAATATGGGAATTGGGGGGGAAGACAAAAACCCAAAAAATATAGGAAAATATGGGGGATATTTTTATTTGTGTGTATTTATTTGTGTGTTCCAGTTCCCCTTCAAATGGGGGGTGGCCCAGGGGCCTTGGAGGGCCCCTTTTGGAGCCCGCAGGGGCCAAAACGGAGCCCTGCAGGGCGCCTTTGGGGCCCTTCTCTTCACCCCTCGTGTGGGCCACCCCTCGTTCGCCCCCGCCCGAGGATTCCCATCCAGTCGCCCGCGGTAGTTCCTGTCACTGGACCAACACGCAATTCACTGTGGCGACGCTTGGAGCACCCCCCTGAAGGCAATGTGTGTATATATATATATATATAACAGAATAATATTACTACCCGTAGTAATAATCATACTATTAGTACCAGTGCTAATAATAATACTAATACTTATATTAGTAATCATAATACCAGTCTAGTCTAGTAATAATCATAATGCTAATCACTAGTAGTATTCATACCAATAATGAAGTTAGTAAACTGTAAATTATATATACATATGTGTGTGTGTGACAACCCGCGTCTCCATCCCTTGAAGGGCTCCCGTGGGGGGCTACCTGGGCAGTCCTGGGGCTGCTTTTGTGCCCTTGGAGTTACTTTTCGGCGATGATGGGCGTCACCTATGGGGAGGGGTAGCATCGCGTTTTGCGTCCGCGCGTCCAGGAGTGGCTGGGGACGACGACGACGACAACAGCAATCATTTCGAGACTGTTAGCTCTCCGTTGCTCGCGTGCCATTAAACACGTATGGTTCAGGGCTACCCCCCCCCTTCTGCTAATGCTCAGGGCCTTCCTCCCTGCTGGATGGATACGCCCGTGAACCTTGTGAGGGCCTCGTGAATGGGATCGTTCCCCTGCCCCCCCCTTGCGGTCGTGGCCCTGCTGGCGTGGCGTGATGGAGGTTTGACGTTCCGCTGCGTTCGCCGCGATCTCTCTGGAACAGAGGTCGCAGGGCTTCGCGAATGGGATTGGTTCCCCTCGCAGTCGTGGCCCTGTGAGGCGTAGCGTGGTGGTGGTTGCCTGTGCCCCCCCCATCCTTGTGGGTGTGGGGTGGTTCGTCGTCGTCCGCCGCCGCCGTCGTCGTCGTCGTCGTTGTCGTCGTCCGTCGGTATCGGTGACGGCCTCGGCCTCGACCTCGACCTCGACCTCGTTGTCGTCGTCGTCGTCGTCATCATCGTCGTTGTCGTCTCCATCCCATCGTGGCGGGGGCTTGTGGAACCCTTGGAACCTTGAGCGGACTTTGGAAGCGAGCCTGCGAGCGACGCGCTTGCGCCCGCCGCCGCTTGGGCTCAAGCGGCGCGCGCCTATAAATATGACTGCCTCGTACGTGAGGCATTATCTGTCTCATCGTAGTATCAGAAAAATGAGTCTTCCAGATCTTTCGACGATGCACTCTCTCATCCCATGATTTGTTTCCCATCTAATGGCTCAGACCTATTGTATGGATAGGTCATTGGGATATTATTAGACGCCTTGGGTTCGTAAATGGTACGGTTTACCATATCACTTCCGATTTGGTAGCAAAAGTGGCCTCATCTTCACGTGGCTCGCTCTGATTCGAATATCCGCTTCCCATTGCACAACATGGCGGACGATGTCTAAGGTGTACATCCAGTTGCGTCGTTGGTTTTCTTTCGGCGATCATGGCCAGGACATTGGTCTTCACCTTCACGTGACATCGCAACGGCCGACAACCAGTCCGGCCTACACGTGTATGCCCCGGCTCTAGGCCATTACGCTCTTACCCACGAACAACCAAAATGGTACTGCACTACCCGACTCCATCTCTTCAAGGGACACCTTGCCGCAACGCGGCCAGCCACAACACCTACACATTAACCTAGACCCATCCGAAAGCGGACGGCCACGTCGGCCCACAACCACGACGACAACGACACCACCATTACAAACATGACCATGCGCTACAGTAGGGTCACATCTGAGTCATCATAAGAGTGTGACTTGGTCTAGCAGTGGGGAAGATGTAACGAGGCATGGACGATACGCGCACCAGGGGCCCTCACCGGGACCTTGCTGGCAACGTACCCTTTCCGCGAATTCGCTCGCGAACTACACGCGTGGCTCAACATAGCACGTGGGGTTCTCACGCCGCCGCAATAAGCCGCTGCCTTGCAGCGCGGCCTCGGAGCTTTAGCCAGGACCCTGGCTATGAGAGCGCTTCCCTCGATCAACAACTACGGCGTTACCTTCCAGGGTCAACGCGTAGACTGTGCTACATACATCTATGCACCCCCTTCAGCACCATATTGGGACGATCGACAGCTGACATCAGGAACAGCCCTCGTTGTCTTGAGGGCCGAGCGAGGTGAGCGCGTCGACTCTTTTGTTAGCCCGATTCGGAAAAAAGGCCAGACAGAAAGCGCATTCTGCTGGACTCGGCATTCCGACTTTCCAGCTTTGGACGTTCTTGCTATTTCGAGCGTTGGGAGCAGGCGCCGCCCGAACTTCGCAGGTGCTACAACTCGCTCAACCACCAGATGTCCCGAACCCAGCACCACCTGCGACCAACTGCTGGAGCGAATGGGCAGCTGCGGGCACTTGGGTGCGTGCGCTCCAGGGAAGATCGGCGGGGTTTTCAGAGGTCGAGGCTGTGGCGCCGATTCGTTCCATGCGGACGTGAGGAACACCGGCGGCCGCGCCTAGAATTAGGTCGGGCCTGTCCCCCTTGCACGGGGATTCTGGACGAAAAATCAGGCATATGCTAGAACTCTTCAAACATATGCCCCGAAGATATTCAAAAATAGTACCCCGACCATTTTGTTTGATTATTCTCCCCGTAGAGGGACAGGCCCGCCTTAACCCTAGAAGTTTCCAGGGCCGGCCAGAAGAGCCGGTCGAACCCGGCGCGCTGCTGGGCCAGGAGGCTCACAGCGCACGGGCAACCGGCCCCGACAGCTGCCACCGGAGTTCAGTCGGGCCTGTCCCTCCACAGTCTGCACGAACGAAATGGGTACGGAAAAATGGGTACAAAGCCGCACAGCAGTTCTTGCTCGTTTTGAACCTGATTCGCTGTCCACGCCGCCGCGGCCTGTGTCCATTTGAGACAGAAGGCCGCCTGCCCAACAGCGGCCGCTGTTGGTTTGGGACAACATTTGTCGTTGGGTGTCCCTCTACACGGGGAATATTCAAAAATAGTCAAACCATCGTGTGGGGCTCTTTTTTGTGTATTTTGTTGACCACTTCGCAGTATTTTTGGGTGTTGTTGTTTATTTTTCGTCGCGAATCCCCCTGTCGGGGGGACAGGCCCGACTGAACGCTGGAGCCGAGGGGCGGCTGCACCTGCGAGCAGCAGTTCGCCGCCTGTTTCTAGTCGGGCATGTGCTTCACATGATAAAATATTATGACCATGCTTCTGGTATTTGTTTAAAACAATGTCGGAGTACGTCTTGGATATTTTGAATATTTCGTCCCAGGTCCACCTGCATAGGGGACACGCCCGATTCAACGCCAGCTGCGGCCACCCTTTGGGGCTCGCCAGGTAAATGCCCCGACGCACCCTGCGAATCAGGAGCCGAGGAATATCCCAAAATGGTCCAGACATCGTATGTTGACGATCTTTCCCCACATGTTTCGTGGGGTTTGGGTTTTCTTCTCTGCCGCGTCGCACCCGTGTCTTCCGCCCGCCTCCCTCCCCTTTTCTTTCCATCTCTTCACGCAGCGCAGGGCATGGCAGTCGTGGCATTTCCTCGGCGCCATAAGGGGGGCGCAGGGGGGTGGTCCCCGAGCGCGGCGTCTATGCGGGCCATGGCGCAGGACATGCCAGGCGTGGCGTTTTGTCGACGCCGTAGGGGGTGCGCAAGGGGTGGCCCCGAGCGCGGCGTCCATGCGGGCCATGGCGCACGGCATAGCAGGCGTGGTACTTGTTCGGCACCATGGTGGTGCGCAGGGTGTGGTCCCCGAGCGCGGCGTCTGTGCGGGCCATTGCGGCGCAGGGCATAGCAGGCGTGGCACTTTCTCGACGCCATAGGGGGTGCGCAGGGTGTGGTCCCCGAGCGCGGCGTCTATGCGGGCCATGGCGCAGGGCATAGC